CCCGACAGCGACACCCCGACAGCGGCACCCCGACAGGGGCATCACGACAGCGGCACCCCGACAGTGGCATCCCGACAGCGATGGGGTACCCGACAGCGAGAGGGTACCCGACAGGGGCATCCCGACAGTGATGGGGTACCCGACAGCGGCACCCGCCCCTGCTCTGCCCTGCCCGCGCCGCGCCCGCCCCGTCGGGGTGGGCAAGGAGGTGTTTTTCCTTGAGCTGGGAAACCTTTCCCTTGAGCTGGGAAACCTTATCCATCAGATGGAAAACCTTTTCCTTGAGCCTGTTTTCTTGGGGTGGTTTTCCTTGAGCTGGGAAATCTTTCCTTGAGCTGGAAAACCTTTCCCTTGAGATGGAAAACCTTTTCCTTCAGCTGGGAAACCTTTCCTTGAGCTGGGAAACCTTTTCCATCAGCTGGGAAACCTTTCCTTCAGCTGGGAAACCTTTTCCTTCAGCTAGGAAACCTTTTCCTTGAGCTTGTTTTCTTGGGTTGGTTTTCCTTGGGGTGGTTTTCCTTGAGCTGGAAAACCTTTTCCTTGAGCTTGTTTTCTTGGGGTGGTTTTCCTTGAGCTGCCAGGGGATGGGGCACTAGGCTGAGCTGAAGGGATGGAGAAATCCCGTGCCAAGCCCTGCTCAGCTCACCCCACGGGTCGTGTGATCCTGGAGGATCAGTTTGTGATTCTTTGTGGAATCACAGAGTTGTTTAGGTTGGAAAAGAGCTCCAAGCTCAGCCAAGATTCAGGATCCTTTCCTGAAACCCAGCTGGGGAGGTCTCCCAAGTTTCCAGGTGCTCAGCTCTTTTCTAAAGAGCTGAAATAAATTCATGGAATTAAGGTTGGAAAAGCCCTCCAAGGTCACTCAGTCCAACCATTAACCAGCACTGATAAGTTCACCACTAAACCATGTCCACAGGTGCTACATCCACATGTTTTCTGAACACTTTCAGGGGTGGTGATTCCACCACTGCCCTGGGCAGCTGTGCCAAGGCCTGACCACCCTTTCCACGAAGAAATTCTCACTAATATCCAAGCTGAACCTCCTCTGGCACAAATTGAAGCTGTTTCCTCTTGTCCTGGGAGCAGAGCCTGATGCCCACCAGGCTGCACCTCCTGTTACGGAGCTGTAGAGCGCAAGAAGGTTCTCCCTAAGCCTCATTTTCTCCATGCTGAGCCCTCTCAGGTCCCTTTGCCACTCCTGGTGCTCCAGCCCTTTCCCCAGCTCCATTCTGACTCTGGACACACCTCAGCTTCTCAATGTCTCTCTTGTGAGCAGCCCAAAACTGCCCCTGGGATTCAAGGTGCCTCAGCAGTGCCAGCACAGGGGGAGAAGTGCTTTGGTATCCAGCAGCTTCCCCCACAAACACCCCTCTGTCCCAGGGAGCCAAGGACAGAGCCACTGTGCACATGTGCAGGATATTTCCCAGGCCAAGAGCAATGCCTGGGAAGTGAAGTGAAGTGAAGTGAAGTTTTTCTGCCATTTGCTCTCCATCCATCCCCAGAGCCTGCCAGCCTGTAAACACACACTCCCCTGGCTCTGGGATGTGTAACGTTGTGATTCCAGCCCACAGCAGCTGCTCACTGCCCCTCCTCTTCTTCACACAACACGAGTTGTGTTTTTGTGCAGGAATCCAGGAAATGTCCTGCAGGGAACGCTGTGATTTACAGAGTGATGCCCAGAGCAGGGTGTTTTCTACTGCTGGGAACAAGCAAACACAGCTGTTGTTCAGCAAGTCTTGCACACAGGTATGAGTGGGATCCTTGCTCCTTTATCCCCATGAGAATCAGTTCTGGACATCAATTATAGCTGGTCCATCCTTCTGGGGAGGAGCTATGGCTTTATGGGGGTGACCAGGAGTTGCCAGTTGACAGTAATCTCCCAGTGTGAGACCTTATAGCATCTTCCAGTACCTAAAGGTGCTCCAAGCCAGCTGGAGAAGGACTTTGGACAAGGGTCTGGAGGGACAGGACAAGGGGGAATGGCCTTAAGATGAAGAAGGGGAGATTTAGATTGGATATCAGGAAGAAATTATTTAATGTAAGGATGCTGAGGCACTGGCACAGATTGCCCAGAGAAGCTGTGGCTGCTCCATCCCTGGGAGTGTTCCAGGCCAGGTTGGATGAGGTTTGGAGCAATCTGGGCTAGTGGAAGGTGTCCCTGCCCATGGCAGGGGGTGGCACTGGATGAGCTTTAAGGTCTTCCAACCCAAACCATTCTGTGATTCTCTGATTCCATAACCCTCCCCAGCCCACCCTGTGCAGCTTCACCAAATCCATTCCAACTTGCAACCAAATAAATATTCAGTGAAACTTTGACTGTCTGCTGGTTCCTGTCACGTCGTTTGCAGCAGCCCAGGGAGGCTGCACACATACATGGTTCTGGTTTCTGAAGCAGGACCAGGCTCCATATTCAATTATCTCCTGGCCAACACCTCCCTGATGTCTCCAGAGCAGGAGATGACTGAGTTATCACCCTGAGACAGCCCTTCCCAAGGCAGGCAGTATGGAAAAGAGGCTTGGAGACAACCAGAAAAGATAAATACATTTGTCTGTCATCATAACCAGTCAGGATCCAGGACAAGCCGTGGGAGGAAGAACTAGACAGTAGCTAAGATAAGAATCAGCCTTTCTGTACTGCCAAAGGCACTGTGGTATGAACCTGCAGCAGTGATAACAGCTTCTCCCTTCCCCCAGCTCTAACACCCCTTCCCTCCAGCACACTGAACTGGGGAGAAGCTGAAATATTGCTGCAGTGAAAGCTCTGTCTCTATGGGATCTGTCTACACAGATGCTCTCAGGAAAAGGGAATCTGAGTTAAAGACAAGGTGGGATTACTTAGAACTTCACAACCTTCCTGCTAACGATTTGGGATTAAAGGAATCACCACACCTTTAAGTGAAAATGGCTCCACACAGGAGGTTTATAATACATGTTAATTGATCCCCCTGGAAAAAAAAAAGAAAGCCAAGTGAATTTGGCTTAACACCCTCTGGGCCACTAACTCCAGCAGGAGATAGTGATGGGCAAACCTTAAACGTGACAAAACCCAGGAGCCTTTCCTGGGGCTGCCTGGAACTGGGAAAAAAACACCATCCTGAAGCTCCTAAAATCCCAGTCAAACAAAGAGAATAATCTTGGAAGAGGAAACTAAGGATCAGAGGTTTTTTTGAGCACTTTGTATGTTGGATTTTGCCTCTATGATTCATGTATTAGTAGCCACAGGGCTGGAACAGGACCAGACTCCAGGGCTATTCCTGAGAGGTGACTCAATTCCCTCTGCTGTCAGCACCTTGCCAAAAGAACAGCACAGGGGAAGCAGCACTGGGTCACCTCTTGTTGATTGCCACAAGGGAAAGGTAATTCCTTTCATCCCATTTGAATCAGCCTTAATTTCAGGGGGCTGAATCACTCCTGACTCACAGCTCCGGTGCAGTGGCTCTGACTCCCATGGGCTCACCTTCCCTTTCAGGTCCACACTGCCAGCAGGGCCAGCCAGCCAGCCAAACTGCTGCCAGGGACACACATGGCACAGCCAAGCACCTTCCAGGGGCTTGCAGAGGTCATGAGTAAGCACATGTGTTCATTCATGCTTCACATGCAGCATGCACACTCGTTAGGGCAAGGAAGGGCACAGTGGTGTCGGATTATCCAGAGGACTCAGAGCTGCCCCTAATGAGGGCTGTGGTTTCAAGTGCTTGTCACTCAGTGTGACACCAGACAAGGCTTTTACCTCCCAGGATTCAGCATCCAGCATGCTGAGCTGCCAGCACTTCTGGGCTAGGGGAGCAGGAGACAGTTGCAGCACTAACTAGCAGCTGAAAATCAGGAGGGTGCTTTTGTTTAACTGCTGGTGTGAACCAGAACTCAGCCCCACTCTGCTTGGGGAAAAAAAATGAATCTTATGATGCTCCCAGTTTCCTGCTTGTTAAGCAGGCAGGTTTCCAAGAAAAATGAATTTGCCTTGGTGGGAAAAAATGAGCAGTTGTAAGTCATTCAGGCTTGGCATGTTCATGTTTGGGAGTGGAAAACAGTGGATTTTGTGGCATTCACAGCAAAGCCAAAGGGGAAGGGCAGAAGTGGAAGATGAAAATTCAGGGTGTGAGGTATCTCTCATTGGAAATAAACCCAGAAAACAAACCCCCAATAGAAGCTGGGAAGGTATTTTAGCTCACTGTGGCTTTCACTGGGTTTGTCCAACTTTGGT